TTAGGATAATTAGATCTCCTACAAATTTGTTACCTACCTGGAGTGGGTTCTGCTGTTCTACACATTAAAAATTTTTTTACTAGGTGTAGTAGTGGTGCATTCCTTTAATCCAGCACTTGAGAAGTGAAGGCAGGTGGATCTCTGTGAGTTTAAGGCTAGCCTGGTCTTCACAGTGAGCTCCAGGCCTGCCAAGGCTCCATAATGAGACTCTGTCCTAAAGAGGAAAAAAAAAAAAAACCTGTGTGTATGTTTGTGGGTTTGTGCACATAAGTATAGTATCTACAGAGAACAGAAGGCACTGGATCCTCTGGAGGTGGGGTTAGAGACAATTGTGAGCAGCCTCATGCAGGTACCAGGAATTGAACTTGGGTCCTCTGCAAGAGAAATGCATTCTTTTTGTTTGTTTGTTTTTCAAGACAGGGTTTCTCTGTAGCTTTGGAGCCTGCCCTGGAACTAGATCTTGTAGACCAGGCTGACTTGAACTCACAAAGATCCACCTGCCTCTGCCTCCCAAGTGCTGTGATTGAAATTGTGTACCACCACTGCCCGGCTGAGAAATGCATTCTTAACTGAGCCATTTCTCAGACCTTCTGCTCTGAACTTTTATTCACAGCCTTTAGGCCCACTATAAATCATTCTCTGTACAGAACGAAGTTCATTTCTAAGATTCTGTCTCATGTTTAAAATTATACAAAAGTCAAAATTCCTTATTTCCCCAAATCAATTTCCTCTCGGCATCTCTAAAATAGTCACATTGCAAATTAAAAGCATGGGCTCTGAAATCAAGGAAGGTAATGATGGATGCTATGAAATAATCCCACACTAGCTAAGAACTGAGTATAATAAAGGGTTATTTATTTAGGGGTAGACTCACAGACCATAATTCCCTGCACGGATGGGGAACAGGAACCGAATCCAGAATTCGGGAGAGAGTGAGTGTGTGCTTTACATCTGCATTTATAGTGTAAGAGGCCATGCCTAAGTGGGCTGGTATCTTAAGGCTTCTAGCTGAAGGAGTTCCCACAGCAGGAAGGCATGGATTTAGATCCTGGTCCTACTGAACAACGGTTATATAATCTAGGAAATGAGCTGGGTTTTATTTTCAGCTTGTTCTGAGTGCTGACAGTACATGTGGAGGTTCTCTCATAAGGAGCACTCAATAGATGGGGAGTGGTTGTCCTTGCCTTCCCGACTGGCTCCAGAGAGCTAGGCAAGTGCCAAAACTCTTTTGGAGATTTTTATTGTTAAAATTTTTAAAAATTAAAAAAAACCTACCTTATGCATATGAATTTTTTGCCTATGTGTGTTTACGCACCATGTGTCCCTGGTTTCTGCAGACATCAGAAGAGGGCTTCAAAGTCCGTGGAACTGGATGGTTGTGAAGCCCCATGGATTCACACAGGGGCTAGGAACAGAACCCTCATCATTTGCAACAGCCATAAATGCTCTCAACTACTAAGGCCATCTCTTTAGTCCTTTGAAGAGTCTGTGAAATTACCAGGGTCACCATCCTAGACTAAGTAAGCCCTGTTGTGTAACAACAGAGATTGGAACATCCATCCTGCAGGGAAGCTCCTGCAGCAGGAAGGCAAACAGCTCTGAACCTGCAGTGTGCTTCAGGTTTAGTTTGGTGAGCTGTCACAGGTGCTGGGGTGGACTTTGGTGATGTAGCTGTCTTTGAGCCATTTCTGCTCCTGTAAGTAACCCGTATTCCTGTTAAGTAATCCCAGTAAAACCCGTTGGTTCACCAAGGTGGAGTTTGGTGGTGTCCATACCTTGTGGCTCCCAATCTGGGGTGTAGATGTGTATGCGTCTCTCCAGAAGTCTTGTCACACGTCCTTTTTATCACTGGCAGATTTGCTAGTAACCACTGGTACTGACCTCAGGTCATTCCACACTGGTCTCTTTTTAACAATTCCAAAATACAACGCCAAATTTTGAGAGCCTGATTATGATCACATGATAAAAACTCATGTTTGCTTGTTTACATGATTTGGTCCCAGCCTGCCTTTCAGCTCTAGTGTGTAAGCTAGTGTATTTCTTTTTTTTTTTTTAATTTATTTATTAAAGATTTCTGTCTCTTCCCCGCCACCGCCTCCCATTTCCCTCCCCCTCCCCCAAACAAGTCCCCCTCCCTCGTCAGCCCAAAGAGTGATCAGGGTTCCCTGCCCTGTGGGAAGTCCAAGGACCACCCACCTCCATCCAGGTCTTGTAAGGTGAGCATCCAAACAGGCTAGGCTCCCACAAGCTTGTGTATTTCCAGGAAACGTTTTCTTGTCATCAGTGCTTGGCTGTTTCATCTTCCTTTATGCTAATTCACTAGGCAATATATTCTCTTTCTGGACTGTCCTCATACTATTCAAGGGATCTCTTCAGTGGAAAATGAAGCCTACCCCTTCCAAACGCCTCACTTCTTATGGCACTTACGTGAAATTCACCTGTTTTAATTTTAATCAAATACAAGTTTATGGTTTACTGCTAGATAACAAGTTTCCTATTAGTTTAACTTGATACTCAAACTAATATTGAGTTAATCAGCAAAACATTAAAAATACTGTATTTCAAGGTAATGGTATCACCCAGCAGAGTGCCTGACTTGCACAAGGCCCAGGTTTGGTTCCCAGTTCTGAAAATCGCCCTTCTCCCCTATTAAAGAAATGCACTATCAAATAAAAGATTACAAACCTGCAGTGCACCAAGGAACAACATTCTGAGTTGAACTGGCATTCTAGTGCTTTGGGGTATTCTTGCCTGTTGGTAATTTTAAAATAAGCACAATATTCTCAACAGAGAAAATGCTTCATTTCATGTTTGGTTGATATGAAAGTAACATCTCTATCAGCCTCCATTCTGAAATTAAGTTATTAAAAAGCCCTCCAAAGCTCATAAACTAAGAGGTGGCTCTTGTTACAAAAGTGGCGCCCAGTTAAGGATGTAGCTTTGTGACTGAACACTTGCCTAGCATGTCACGTCCAACCTTCAGTGCCGTGGTGGCACACGCCTTTACCCGGAGCACTTGGGAAGCTGCAGCAGTATTGGGCTACCTAGTGTACATAGTGAGACTTTGCCTGAAAAACAGCAAATGGTACACAATAAATATTTCTCCCATCTACATAAAACAGCCTGTAGTTCTAGGTGAGTTTATAAAGACTTACCTCCTTTTGCTCAGTAAACTGAAACTTGTGCACTCACTGCACAGAGATTCTTTTATGCTTGGGATTCTCCCTGCGGAGGCAGCTTTTCTAGAGAATCTGATTCTAGAGAATCAGTTTCCATACTTTGATCGTCAACCATGGGTAAGTCTTTACCAAAATTGATTTTATTTAAAATGAACTTGGAACAGATTAGTTCTAAGTATTTTCCTATGATTTAAAAATTTTGTTATGACTTTACTATTTTGTTACATGGCACAGGGACTTAATTGTAAAATACACATAAATTTGTCATGTCAACCATTTAAAAAGTATACAATTTGATAACTTAGTACATTTATAACCTTTTTCAACCATTTGGTGCTAGAACATTTTCATTCACCCAAGAAGAAACTCCACCACGAGGCAGTCACCCACCTTCCCTTGTCTCTAGAGTTCCCAGAAACTTCTAATTAGCTTAGTCTCTACAAACATACCTATTTTATTAAAGCAGAATCATATACTCAGTCTTCTGTTTCTGGCTTACTTAATTTAGCATTTTTCTTTGGGGTGGGGGTGTTTCAAGACAGGATTTCTCCGTGTGTAGCCCTGGTTGTCCTGTAACTAAATGGCTCTGTAGACCAGACTGGTCTCAAACCCAAGAGATTTGCCTGCCTCTGTCTCCCTTAGCACTGGGATTAAAGAAAAGGAGCACCACCACCCAGCTCTCTTAGCATCTTCAATGTTTACCGCCTATCAGTTCCTGTTGGCCTCTCAACCATCAGGGATTGCAGGTATTAGCTACAATACTGTCTTCATTCCTTCTAGTGATTAAAAAATTGCTTTTCCAAAACTTTTGTATGTGATAGACTGCATGAACAATGAACTAAAGCAACCCTGCCCTTTGGGACGTTTGTTGTTTTTTGTAAGCAAGGCTATGTCTAAATAGCGATTCTCCAACACTATGTACAAAGCTACCCAGGGCCAAAAAGACCACAGATTAATTTAAACAAGCACTTAGGTATGCTTCAGCAATTCCTTTTCTCAGTTGAAACCAACACAGGCAGAGGATACTAAAGTGAAAGAGCACATTTGTCCTAATTCTGTCCATCTTCCAAAAAGAAAAATCCTAAAACTTGTTTCTTCTACCTAAAGCAGAAACTTGGATGTCAATGTGACAATAGTTACTAGGTCAAGAACAGTCTTTCCATGGTAGCAACTTTCTTCCTTTCACTAGGGAAAGTCTCAGCAAGAAGCACTGTGCACTACTGGGGTAGACCTCACTCAACCATCATTCCTAGCAATTCCACTACAAATGGTGGCAGGAGTGTTTCAGCAACTTTGGGGCTCAAAAAACTGTAGCCAATTAATTTTACTCCTGGCAACTACTTTTTAAAAGAGGTGTATTTAAATATGAAACCAGCTGCCAGGGTGACTAAGATCGATGGCTATTTACTACGGACACAGAACAACTTAATGTGGGGCTTCTGGAAATTCAAACAAAGTCACATTCCCTCCCAGTAACTGCTTCCAAGTTCTAGAAACTGACATGATTTCTTTTCAGATCCAGCAATGTAGGGTGGTAGGTGATTCTGTTTCTATTTGTTCTACTACATGGTAACCTTTAAAAAACACAAAATTATTTAGATGTGGTATTAGTCATATTTCAAAGAAGCTCAAAGAACTAAAATATTTCTCCCTTACATTAAGAAATAAGATCCTCATAAAGCACAATCTGCAGAGCACTAAGAGAATTCCCGTAGAATTCACATGCATGCCACCTTCCTCTGACCTGGACAACCAACTGCCCCAATGTGTCATTTTCTCTATGAGGACCCCACATTAGATAAGTACAAACCACAGCAGAAATTAAAGTTTTCATCTTTAATGAAATGACTTTGGAAACGGTACATTTCCATGACACCAGCACTACAGCTTTTGGGGTCACAGTAAGATACACAGAATTACATCCGTAATTACTATGAATGCCAACATTTCAGGCAGTAATTTCTGTTACATGGCAAACAAGATCAAGAAAGCAACCATCAAACAAAAGAGTCCCATAGCTTCAGACAAGGCAAATCCCAGGATAGCATATGAGAACAGCTGCTGCTTCAGTGAAGGGTTTCTAAAAGACACAATGTAACACAGATGACGGTTACACATTTAGCAGATGGTCAAGGATCTGATAACTAGTGTGAGGATCTCTGCAACCTAGAAAGTTCTATAGAGGCGCTATCTCCCTACACTACCTTGCTTCTGTCTCTCAAATTGCTTTTTTAAAACCCACTCCTAATCATGTGGCACACAGTTAGGGAGCTCTCTTTCTATGCATATATAAATGCTTAGTTTACACCCACTTTGAGGGGTCCCGATATTCTTGAGGTTGGTCTCAAACTTATGATCCCCTTGTCTCTCTCCTGGCTGGCTGGGGTTAGAGCATGTGCCCTTTTGGTGACTAATACACACAGCTCACAAAATACAATGGGAGACACACAACAGACACGACAAAGGAGCTACTATTACTTCACTACTTTCCTATTTCCAGCTTCCCACTGTTTAACTTCCTCTGGGACAGAGTGATTACCTGGCATAACCAATGATAAGGCTGCCAAAGACTGTTCCGATACCAGCACCAGAGCCCGCAACTCCCACTGTTGCAGCACCTGCACCAATGAATTTGGCAGCAGTATCAATGTCTCTGCTGATTACACTGGTCTGAAACTCCCTTCGGATCAGCTGGCACGCACCATTCTGGGCCCCATTAAATACTGTAGAGCCCTGGGAACGGGAAATAAGGCAAAGGTCAATTCAGCAATCACATCTATTTTAACGACTGTACTGTCAAAACGGTGATGTCTTTATAGTGTAGCTTGGTATGAATAAATAACTGCATGGCACAATGAAAAAGAAAACCAAGAACTTATACTAATTCTTATCTTGTATAAGATAATTAACAATCTATACCTATACCTTCTAGAGTTGTTAAAATTATGACACAGAATATGTGAATGTTTTTCAACACAGCAGGCTCTTTTTGATAGTCATGACTACTTTAATCTTAAATACAAATAACTCAAAACTACCGGCTTAAATATAAGTACAGACTAAAACATTCATTTGCTAAGTCGGGAGGCTGTTTTGGCCAGTAGAGTTCCTCTCAGAGGCTCATTTTACACATTGTTGATTAAAGTGGAAAGAAACTACCTTGGAGTCACTCACCCTTCACTATAACAACCCTGAAAACTTATTTCCTCATCTTTATTATCACTACTTACCTCTCCAGTCCTAGCCTCGGGTCGAGATAACACTGCTGCTGAAATTGGTCTATATGCAACTCTGGATCCAGCTCGGATCTATCAATGGAAGGAAAGGAAAAATTTCAAGTATAAGGAATATAGGTGGGTCTTCTCGTAACCATAAATTCCAAAGGAGAAAGCTGAAGTGAAAATGAGCAGAGATTTACTTCTCTGTACAATGATCTTGGCTGTTTGGTCCTTTTGAACCCAACAACACTTCAGACTAAAGAATTGTAAACCATGCGATCTAATCGATCTGTGAACTAAAATCCTAAGAACAATTAGTTACAAAGTGACTGAGCACTGCTGTGGAAGTTTCAGTAAGTGCAATTTTGTAATTCAAGTAAGTCCATGTGGGCCAGCAACATATTAAAAGTGTCACTATGAATGCTGTCATTTACAACAGCCCAGCAGTTAATACAGCTCCCAGTATTTCCAAAGTATTCCTAAATGCCCACTAATCACAGATTTACTACAGAGTTTAAGTAGTAAACTCTGGCACCATAAGGACATCTTGCCTTCTGGCTTCTCTGCCCTTGAGTGTCCACGACACTAAGGTCACAGAAAATTCCTTCAGAGCCCGGACCTGATTCTCTAGGACAAATCCATTAGGTTCAGACTTTCAGTCTCTAAAAAGAAATCTTCAGGGCTCCCCTACCACCTTTCTCCGCCCACACAGGGAAGCAAAGGCCCTCCCTCTGCAGCGGCAGAGTTTGACCTACAGACACGCATGGGAAGGAAGCGCTGCAGAGGCAGCTAGGCCTCAGCGGCACCCTCCCAACTCCCAGCACCCCGACCTTCGCGTCGACCCCAACTCCACCGGGACCAGGGGAGGGGGGTGGGGGAGGGGCGCGCTCCAGGAGCAAGGAGGCTGTGACCTACGCTGAGTGGGGCCTGACAGGCCTCGGGGGACGCAGGGCGTGGGGACGGCCTGCCGGGCAGGGTGGGGAGGGAAGGGGGAAGGAGGAAAGAAGGGAGGGTAGGAAGGGCACCGGGGCAAGGGTGAAGGAGAGCCCGTCCCTCAGCGGGTACGCTGGGCCGAGGCCTGGGCTACGCACCAGAGCGGGGGTGCGGGCGAGCTTGGCGCAGGCGAACATCTTTCCTCCCGGCGGTGCGGCGTGGATGTGGGTGACAGGCGACGTGGGCTCCTCTCCCGCTCCCTCTCTGCGGAGGGAAAAAAGAGGCTTAAGGTCAAGTGTCCCCCAGGGGCCTGCCCTTCCCACACCCCAGGGGCCCCCGCGCAGGCCGTCGGCGTGGCCGCGTGCCCGGGAGGTGCAAGCCCGGTGGACGGGGCCCAGCGGCCCGCTCCGCCCCGGGCCCGCGCCCTCCACTTACCTCCCGAGGCGGCGGCGGCGGCGGCGACAGCGGCGGCAGAGGTCGAAGCAGTGGGGCTGGGCGCGCAGGCGCGGTGCGGCTCTTATCCACGCCGCAGCACCCGGATGGAGAAGGCGGGGGTAGACGCTCAAGGTCACTTTGTAACAACTTTATTAGTAACCAGCAGAGAAGGACAAGGACAGTCACACGGCCGCAGGCCGGCAGGCAATGGAATTAAAAAGAGCTCGCAAAAGGCTACCCCCGGCGTTGTTAGCATCACTAAGGGTGCAGATATTTTTAAAATCTTTTTCCGCTATTGCGGACCGAGCCTTGCACCTTGGAGGTGCCAGACAAGCTACAAGCTAACCCTCTTTGCACTTTTATTACAGACAGGGTGAGTTGCCCACACAGGCCTTGAATCTGTAATCCTCCTGTTTCAGCCTTCCAAGTAGCTGGGATCACAGGACTGCACCACCAGGTCCAGAGGGATTATTTCTTTAAATGAACCCAGAAAAAGGTGTTTAGACAGCTAATCTTTCTTCAGAAAGAGGTCCTTATTAGAAATACTGGGATAAACAAATAAGCGGTCAACTGCTTTTGTAACTATGTAGCCTAGCCTGGCCTCCTTCACTGAACTGTCTTGTCAAGTGCTGGGATTAAAGGCGACGCTGTGCTTGGCTTTTTTTTTCTCTCTAGACAGGCCTTCTCTGAAGTTTTGGAGCCTTTCCTGGAAACTAGTCCTTGTAGACCAGGCTGGCCTCAAACTCTCAGAGATCCACTTGCCTCTGCCACCTGAGTGCTGGGATTAAAGACGTGAGCCGCCACTGCCCGATTTGTGTTTGGCTTTCTTCCAACTTTATAGTTAGAAGAATTAAGAGATTATAATGTGCTGGGTGGTGTTGGTGTACTTTTTTAATCCCAGTACTCGGGAGGCAGAGGCAGATGGATTTCTGTGAGTTCGAGGCTAACCTGGTTTAGAGAGCAAATTCCAGGACTGGTTCCATAGCTAATGAGAAACCGTGTCTCGAAACAAACAAACAAACGAAGCAAAAATCAAAAATTGAGATTATAACTATCATAATTTTGGACTAAAAAGTGTCTGAATGTTCTTTGAAGTTTATTAAGCACCTATTTTTGGTAACTTTGAGCAAACCAGGTGAATGTCTCAGATAAATGACTGTTGTTGAACTTCTGGTCTCGTTATAGATTTTTAAAAATGTTTTTTCAGATTATAATGACATAGTTTTCCTTTACTGTTTCCCTTCCCTGAACCCTCTACATACTCAACTCCCTGTCTTTTTCAAATTCATGGTCTCTTTTATACACACACACACACACACACACACACATTCCTAAATATAAAAATACAATTTGCTCTGCCTGAATAATGTTTTAATCATGGTATTTTCCTTGGCACTCTCCCCAGCCCCAGACAATCACCATTCTTTCTTTTTTGTGAACTTGACTACTTTAGGTCCTTCACTTAAGTCATGCACTATTTTCTTTTGTAATTAGCTGCTGTTTCCTCTAATTTTGTTATTACATTCATTTACTGGCTTTGTGCTCATGTGAGGGGAGGCATATGTGTATGGATGTATAAGCCAGCATGCTTGTAAAGGTCGGAGGATACCGGAGGGAGGCAGTACTCTCCCACCCTGCGGATCCCAGGATTGAATTCAAGTCATCAGGCTCAGGGGCTGGCAAGCAGCTCGACTCACTGAGCCATCTCACAACATACCTGCCCTTTTCTTAAGTTCATGTTGTGTATTTTTGAGATTAATCTAGTTATATAGTTCACACCAACTTGGAACTTCATATCCTCCTGCCTCAGCCTTGAGAGGGCTGGGATCACAAGTGTGTACCAAGTACTTGGTTAATAACTGATTTCTTTCACATAGCGATTGTCTTCATAGTTCATCCAGGTTGAGGCATGTGTAAGAATATTCTTCCTTTATAAGGCTGGATCTGCCGTCCTCTGCCTTCGAGTGCTGGGATGAAAGGCCTGTGCCATCACTGCCTGTCTTTTTTCATCTTTGAAAAGGTTATTTATTTTTAAGATATTTATTTTTCTTTTATATGTATAAATGTTTTGCCTGTGTGTGTGTGTGGTGTATGCCAGATAGCAAAGGAGGTCAGAAAAGGATACCAGATCCCGTGGAGTTGGAGTCACAGATGGTAGTGAGCCACCGTGTAGGTCCTGGGAACCAAACGTGGGTCTTTCTCAAGAACAAGCACACTTATTTAACTACTGAGTCACCGCTCCAGCTTTCTATGTTTTATTTTTTATTAACATGTCTGTCTGTATGCTTGGGTGAATTTCTGCCATGTGTGTGAGGGTCCAGGGAAGCCATAGGAGGGTGTTAGATCTCTGGAGCTGGAGCTGTAGGTGGTTATGAGCCATTTGACATGTGTGGGAACTAAATTCTGGTCTTCTAGAAGAGCAGGGAGCATTCTAAACCTGAGTCATTTCTCCAGCTCCTCCTCCTTCATCTTTTATTTATTGCTTGCTCTTTTGATTCTCACAGAATATTTGTCCCCGAGGATAGAGATTTTGTCATGCTTATTGCTGTATCCACAGTTTAGAAAATGCTTGGCTTACTAATCAGTTAATTAATTTGGGCAGTCAGTAAACTATTGAGCAATAAGGTTGAGAAGAAATACAGAAATTGTTAATCTTTTATTCCCATCTATCTATTATTTGATATGTTATAGTAAAAATGGATTATTTAAAAATGTAAAAATCAGTACATTAGGGATATTTTAATATTTTATAGTGATCGATAACAATACTTTCCCTATTGTGCTTACATTGATGGTAAAAGGCTAAATGACTAAATGAATACTAAATCTCAGGTCTTGGTGATGAACTTGTGTATAGTTTAGGCAGTAACTGCATTCAATATTCTTCAAGTTACATTCAAACTCTTAATATATATAAGGCTAGGCTATCCTTGTTTGAAAATATTATGTTCTCATATATATGGCATCTTACCTCCGTATTGGCTAGAATTATTTTATATACAGGTAGGTTTTACACGAATTTCAGTGGATTTTGTTTTGTCTTGAAAATCAATTCTTAGCGTAAGTCCCCATCTCCCTCAAAAAATCAAAACCATCTATTTTTTAGAAGACTTGAATATTAACATATGCTTAAGAGATGAAAAATTAATAATTTATTTATGTTTATTTTATGTGCATTGATGTTTTGCCTGCATGTATGTCTGTGTGAGGATGTCAGATTTTGGAATTACAGTTGTTAGCTGCTGTGTGGTGCTGGGAATGGAACCCAGTTTCCCTGGAAGAGTAATCAGGGCTCAGTGCTCTTAATACTGAGCCATATCTCCAGCTCCATGAGATGAAAAATTTTATAACACTCAAAACATCTGTAAGCATTCTTTTTTTAGTTTAAAAATATTTTTTAAAATTGTGTGTGTGTGTGTGTGTGTGTGTGTGTGAGAAAGAGAGAGAGAGAGAGAGAGAGAGAGAGACAGAGAGAGAGAGACAGAGAGAGGGAGCCCGAATAGTCTCCAAAGATGGGGCCCACTGGAGCAGCCTGATGTGGGTATTACAGTCTTAACTACCAAGCAAGACCCAAGAGAGCTCTTTCTACCATTTTTTTCTCAGCGCTAGTCCCAGGGAGGTATTTGTGGGTTACATTACTAACCCTAAGGTTATGTGATTATGAAGCTACTCTATCGATTAAAATTAAGTGGCTTCCATATTGTGCAAATACTTTATGCTGATTAATGCTCATTTTGAATTTACTTCTGGATTATTATGGCCTCATGAAGGAAAAACACGGTTACACAGTACTAACCATACTTTTCTTGGCACCTTTTCCCGTTACTAATTTAAAAAAAAGTTATCCATTATATGGATAATATCACACTTTATACTGCCCATCTAACCCTGAAAGACTTTCTAATCTAAGCACTTTGATAATTAGCTTTGTTTCCTATGGCTCATCTCCAAGTCAGGTAACCTGGTCTAAAGAGGTGATGCATATACAATTTTAAAATGTGTTTTTCAGAAGCAAAGCATTAAAGAAATACATTTTATAAAATAAGATCTGTAAGTGGAATCATCAAGATTCATTTATATGCTAAGTTAGAGCTTTGCCTAAATTGCCTCCTTGATTTAGAATAGGCAAGATCAAGATTTTTAATTTTTCCCAGTACTGGAGATCAAGCCTAGAAAAGCACTCTAAGGTAAGAGACACATTTAAATGTTAGAAAAAGCTTGGAGTAGAAAAATGGCCAGATGAACACTTATATGCAGGATGGTTGAGGTGACTCCCGTGAAAGATTTATTCTAATCCCAAAGGGGTTTTGACCCACAGGTTGAAAACTTCTGTTTTAGACTCACTTTAATTTATTCATTTTTATTTGGTGTGTATGACTGTTTTCCCTGCTTGTGTGCTTTGTGCTTAAGGAGACGGGAAGAGGGTGCCAGATCCTCTGGAGCTGGAGTTATAGATGGTTGTAAGCTGCTCTGTGGTCCTAGGAGTAGAACTCTGGTTCTCTACAAGAGCAGCTTTTAAATGGTGAACCATCTCTCTAACCCCTAAATTAAGCGGCCAATTGAATCACTTAAGTCTTTTCTCACTTTATTCTCCCAAAGGCACACCATGTTTTCCTCTTCCCCCACCATTGCCATCTGTAGTAAGAGGAGTGGCGGGCCATGCCCCGCTGCCCTGCTAGATTAACCCCAAAATAATCACACAGAAATTGTGTTAATTAAATTACTGCTTGGCCCATAAGCTCTAGCCTCTTATTGGCTAATTCTCATATCTTGATTCAACCCATTTCTAATAATCTGTATGTCACCACGAGGTCATGGTTTACCGGGAAAGATTTAGCACGTCTGACCTGGCAGCTTCGTGGCTGCTCTCTTTTTCTGCCTTCTTTCTCCCAGCATTCAGTTCTCTTTTCCCTGCCTAGCTAAGTTTTGCCCTATCAAAAGGCCAAGGCAGTTTCCTTATTTAACCAATGAAAGCAACAGAAATACAGAAGGACCTCCTACACCAGCCAACACCAGCAGCATAAGGTACTAGGATCCAGGCACCTCTTGAGAATCTGGCACAGTCACCCATCTGTGTACGGCAGGCAGTTCCCTGACTGTAAGCAGATGCAAAGATCCCTTTAAAGG